TGCATTCCAATCAGCTAAAAACTCGCCGTCCAGCGAAGATCCTCCATCCATAGGAGCAGCCATTTTCAATCACAAAACCTTCAACATTAAGCAGATTCATCGTAATGCGGGGTAAACATAAAGCGGGGCACGACTGTATAAATAATCATGCAAGGCTAGCAGTAATTTTGTGTTATGCTGTTGATGACATCATGAGAGAACAGCTGGTGAAACTGTTGTCTTTGCCTGGAAGAACACAAGGGAGAGATATCTACAATTCTGTGATAGAAGCTTTTTTGTCAAAAAACATAAGAGCAGAAAAGCTAGTTTCAGTTACTAGTGACGGGGCACCTTGCATGTTGGGGTAACATCTGGTTGCATACAGTTCTTTTTTAAAGAAGCAAAACATCCGATCATTCAGTTTCATCAAGAAGCTTTGTGCCAGGTAAAGTAGCAAAAAATTAGATGATATTCTCAGAGATGTCACAAAAATAGTGAATTACATCATGGCTCCTGCTCTTAATTTTTGGCAGTTTCAAGCTGATGTTGCCTTGAATTACTGCAAAAATGGCAAGACTTATGCCTTGATACCCAAGTGAATTTTGATATGAATAGAAATTATTGCGATTTCGTCAAGCTTCTGATTTTCCCCTAGAGACCTATAAAATTCTGTGAAACTCTTAGGGAAAGGTTCAGGCCTCAGACTGTCTGACCTGACAACACTTTCTAAGAATACTCTTGCCATATTTTTTTACCCTTTAGGGTGTGAAGATCTCAGTGGTTGCCTTCAGTGTATCACTGATTCACAAACATATTCTCTGCCTGCTTCAGCAGTTACATAACCTGGACTTTCCTGCCGCTGGTTTCCATTATATTCCATTACAACTTCTCTTCTGTTTGCTGAATTCAGTGGTTTATAGGCTCTAGGAAGGGTAGGAAACACAGTTCATAAATGTAAATACACTTTGGGATTTTATTATGGATTTGAGATGATTCAATATAAGTAGCATAAGCCTTTATGATGACTTGCAGCTCAGCCTGGCATCCACAAATAATCTTGACTCCCACATTTTTGCTTTGTAATCAACTAATGGGATCCTAGCAACATTTTTTCTAAGTTGTGTGCAGAGCTCCATTAGGGCTGCATACTGGCAGTCTGTTTAGTTCCAGTTTCAGCTGTAAGCCCACTCCTGTGTGTTCAGGGCTCCCACATAGCAGGGCAGAAAATTAGAGAGAATGTTGGTTCCTAGTATGGTGTAGTGGATCAAATGATGGCCTAGGACTCTGGGGAACAGGATCTGAATCCCCACTTGGCCATGGAAACTGAATGGGGAAATGGGAAAATCACTCCTTAACCTTGAAAACTCTGTTAGAACTGCTATAAGTCGGTTCGACAGATTTGACAGCATGTAACAGCAACAATTAATGTACAGTAAATATGTTTTTATTTGGTGGTAAACTTTGGAGAAAGGGGACTTCCATGTTAAATTATTATTTGATGTTATTTATTTAAACTATTTTACCCACCTTTCTCCTTGAAAAGACAACTTATATAATTAAAGACAGCTTATATGATTAAAAGACCACATTTAAAGCTAAAAACAGCTTACATCATTTTAAAAAAAGGATAAAAACAAATACCACTCTGAGAAATGATAAGCAAAAGCAATACTAAAATCACATTCAAAGCAATAAGGCATCACGATTTATTTAAAAATCCCACTGAGGCAGTGGGCGGTATATAAATCTAATAAATAAACCAGGTCTGAAGCCAGACTGAAATTGATCTAGATAACCCATCTCATCTAGGAACCTCTGGAACTGAGAAGCCACGACCCACTCTAGCATTTTGCCCAAGAATGGAACATTAGATACTGGTTGGCAATTATTCAGTATTATGGGATCCAAGGAGAGTTTTTTCCAACAACGGTCTCACTATCCTGTTGCAAGGAGGCATTCACCACTTCTCCTATCCACTCAACCGGTCCCTTCTTGTTGTTGCTGCTGTTGTTATATGCTGTCAGGTCACCCTCAACATATGGTGACCCTATGGATGAGCAATCTCCAAAATGTCCTGTTCACAACAGCCCCGCTCAGATCTCGCAATCTCAGGCCTGTGGCTTCCTTTAGGGAGTTAATCCATTTTATATTTGGCCTTCCAACTTATATTTGCTGTCTTCCACC